TGTTTACGATTTCTCGAATATTTCGTTTGTCCTCGTTCAATTTTGTTTCAAGTTTGTCTGTACTTTATTATTGAAATATGTCACTGAATATAATTCTATGGTGTTGACATTCACTGTCAACTGCACGAGGATTCGAATGAAAAGAATATTCTTAAAATGTCCAAGGAGCAGGTTTTGGATAGAATTGTAACGTATAGCAAGAGGATCTTGATCAATTGATATTTTCTAATATTTTCATTGGAATCCTTCTTGTACTCATAGTTTAATGATGCACAGGAATTTTGACTACGTTTTCACCATGGACAAACTGAGAGTAAGGTTGGAGTAGAAGTGAGGTGGATTCAAAAGTATAAACGAAGGTTCCACTGCAACAGGTGCAACGTGGAAGTAAGTGACGTGTAACAATGGACATGGACTGGTTGCACGACAGAAACTAGCTGTGCTTCCAAAATTACTCAGATGTCCCAAACCCTTTCAGTTTTTTTGTCTGTTAAGATTAGTTGAAGTGCAACAAGATCTTTAGTTGTTCAAATGTATTATTATTTTTGTTATAGCCATAGAGATCCTCTGTATCATCTGGGATATTATTATGTCTGTTGCACTTCAATCACTTAGTACCCTGGCTGTTTTGTATTATGGCATTAAAGGCCATACATGCTTTTGCTTAGCCTCTTTCTGAGGTATTTTAGATTTCAACGGTTGCTCCTTCCTGATTATTCCTGCAGACTCAATTGATCAATGCGTCGATAATTATTTTATTGCATACTTCTATCAAGATTTATTTAATTTAAGTCAAGCTACTTCCATCTCGCTTCCAGTTTGTTGAATGTGAAAACAAGGTCACTGTCCTGTTATAAACTCATCTTTATTAGTGTTGTCAACATTTCCTTCTACCTTTCTGTTACTATCCTGTAGATTGTATTAATTCAAGACACTTTTTGTTTGTATTTTTTTTTTATAATCCTGCAAGATTATATAATGCAACATCTAGCACCATATTTCTATATTACAACAATATGCTGTTATTCTGCACTTTAGTATGATTTTCTGCAAGATATTTTAATTGCATGCAATAGATTTTCAAAAGTATTATTTATAGCTTAATGCTTTGATTTTTTAAGCATCTAGTAGTTGCCAGTACAGGTGTGTTTTGTATATACTAATTAATTCCTCTTCTCTTGTTTTAGCAGAAGGGCACTATACAATCACGGATAAACCCCGTACCTTGAAGTTAATTTTAAAGGTGGGGGGTAGTAGTGGCACACCTGAATACGGCAACGAATCTCCAAGTCAAACAACAATGTTGTCTCAACATTTAGGTGTGTACCAGCAACAGTTGGGTCTCAACTGTTCCGTAACGCAGGAGTCTGAATACGATAGGTATATGGGGCATAAGAAACTCAAGAAGAAAAAGAAAAAGAAGGATAAAAGACACAAGCACCATCATAAAGATAAGAAAAGACGAAGAGAAGAGTCAAGTCAAGAATCCGTAGGAGATGCGGATGAAAGTTTCGCAGAAGTCCCCAAAAAGATTCCTAATCACCAGTTGCTACCTCCTAGACCTCCATCGAGCGGAGAGCACAGAGTTGGCATTACTAGCCACATTAGCTCTCTCTCTCCGCATCGTGAACCACGAACTTGTGTGCTTCGAAAAATTGCCGAGCGTACACCCCTTCAACGATTGTTGGAACATCTTCTCAGGTCAATGGAAAAACGTGACCCACAGCAATTTTTTGCTTGGCCAGTCACAGATAGCATTGCGCCTGGTTACTCTCAAATCATTAATAATCCTATGGATTTCAGTACCATAAAACAGAAGATAGATGATAACAATTATCAAAATTTAAACGAATTTATAGACGATTTCAAGTTAATGTGTGATAACGCTACTACTTATAATCACCCAGATACAATTTATTACAAGGCAGCTAAGAAATTGTTACACGTTGGTCTAAAAATGGTTACACCCGAGAAGCTTCGTCAATTAAGACCCGTTTTAACTTATATGCAGGATATTTCAAGAGAGGAACTTGGATTCGAATTAGGTACAGAAGATCCTAACAATCCAGATGTTCCGGTAACGGAAGAGCAAATCGAACGGGAACGAGAACAGGAGGAGCGCAATGAGGAAGCGGAGGAACTTAGAAAGGAGAATCAGAGGAAAATGAGATTAGCGAATTTAGGTAAATTCGAAGCTATCCCGGACGATTTGACTCCTGAAGAGATCTTGAAACAAGCGCGAGGTGCTGCTAAAGCAGCATCCGAAAAGTTAACGTTGAAAAGGTTGAACTCGAAGATGGGTTTCCTTAGACAGAAGAAAGATGGAACTACTAGTTTACAGATAATAGTACCCGGAGATGGAGTGATTCCAGGAACCAATCAAAGACCGGTATCGTTAGGTCAACTGATAGGAAAATTGAATCATGGTACAGGGGCATTAGCAGGATTTCGTGAAGACAGGAGAAACATGTCTAAACCAGTAAAACCTTTATACTACGGTGCCTTTGGCTCATACGCGCCAAGTTATGACTCTACGTTTGCCAATCTTACAAAAGAGGAAACAGACTTGGTGTACCAAACGTATGGTGATGAGACGGCTGTACAATATGCGGAATCTATTTTAGATTTTGCTAAAGACTGTGATTATACTCTGACTATGGTCGACGATTTACTGGATATATTGACAGGAGGTGATCACAGAAAGACCAAGAAGTTCCTCGAGGAAAAACGGAGGCTCAAAGAAGAGGAGGAGAAGATAAAGCATTTACTAGAGAAACCTATGCAAGATATAATTCGAAATATCTCAACTGCTGACAACGTTAAAGTTGATATTGACCAGTTGAAAACACTTTCAGAGCTAGGAATCGACGTCAATTTCTTGGAAAATCTAGGTAATTATATTTTCAGAATAATAAATAAAATTCTGTAAAACAATATTTAATAAACTTTATTCTATTTATAGATGTTGATTTAAAGACCACTGAAGAACGTACAGCCTTGCAAAGTCGTTTGGACGATACGTCGCAAATGTTGAATCGTTTGAAACAGGTACAACACGAACGACTCTCGGCTCCACCACCCCCTCATTTGTCTAATGTTCCTAAACCATCAGAAATCGAGGTAGCGATAGCTGACAAAATCACAGACAATTTAACGGAAATAGCTAAGAAGCTTCCTCCTTCGGCTATCGCACCCGTGGAAGGTTTGAGAAAGGCCATGGGTATAGCACCTCTTGGAGGACCAGAGCCTATGGAGGTTGAACCTATCACTCATAACCCGACTATCGTCGCAGAAAGTAATCTATTATCGCAAGCTAACGCTAATCAAGTTCCGCCGAATTTGTTGCCAACTCCCTCACCGATTCCAAACACAAATTTACTCAGTTCAACGACTAGCCAACAAGCTCAACCGATCAGTATCGTGAACGCGAATCAGCCACCTATTCAAATACAGATCGGCATGGCGCACAGTCAGACGCCGCCATCTTTACTTGGTACGACAGAAACTTCCGCGGTTCCCGATTTGGAAACGGAACTTCGTGAATTTCTAGAGAGCGATCCTACGTTAGGACACTCCCCTCTTCACGACGATAAAACATTAGAGGACATTTTATCTGAGTCTTAGTGTGTACGATTCGCGATAATATATTTTTCGTTTATATACCTCCCACAGGTTGTACATTTTTCTTATGTATCAACAGCAATAGGTTTAATGCGAAAATGCGTACTGTTTAATAAATATAAGATCGTGTCCCCATACCGTGTTGTCATGCAATCAACACCGTGCTAATTTTATATAATTATTTATGAAGTTTGCGTAACAAATAATATTAATGGAATACTTGTAAAATTTTTATGAGATACACATGTAATGCGGAATATTGTTTCATTATAAATGTTGAAGAGATTTTAATGAATTATACCCAAAGATAAATCAAATGGAATTTACTTTATTTTTAGTTTTGTTTTTAATCCTAAATTTTGATGTTAATCATTTGCCGAGATGTTACGCAAACGCAAATACGTATTTTAAGAGCAAGGAAAATACTTTGTATTCGAATAAATTCAGACTTTCTTGTTGCACAGTGTCATCTAATATTTTCACGTATTAAAATATACAGAAATTGTAAATACTTATAAAATATATTTTTAAATCAAATAATCAATTCATGATCAATATAAAACATTAGTCAGTTAATAATTCCTTTCTCTTCCATTTTCGTATTTATGAATCAAAGCGTCTTCATGGAAAAGGTGTGTTATTTACTTACTCAATCACTGTATGCGTTGTTCTTATCCCCATATTAGAAAATTTGTACGTGTTATCTCCCAGGAACAATATGACACAATAACACACGTTAAAATACTAATTTTTTTCTGTTAAAATCAGAATAAAATTTGACACAAAACACGCGCGCCGGTTATGGATGTCACGAACGTACTACAAACTTTTATCGCATGGTGGCGCATCGATATTCGTCCGGTATACTGCGCACTCAACGATTCCGAGCGGCGACTTTAGGAACTAAAGGGAATTCAAAGAATAGACGTTGAGGTTCTACTGTTCATCGTCCAATGGCGCCAGCAATACTGTTTTCAAATCGGGCATTCATGTAAAATTAAAAACAAATTAAAATAAAATTTATACAACCTTTTGAACTTATTAAATGCATTACTTTTTAATAAAATACCCGCCTCTCCTTCTTCTAAACTAATTAATGTAGTTATGATACTTTGATTAAAATAGAAAATAAAAAAATGTAACAAAACTTTCTTGGAAGTTGTAATTTTCCTAACGGCAGTAAAGAGGAAGGAATCAGGAAGTTGAATACAAAAAGGGAAACTACAAGTTATCATTTCCCGATAAACCTACACATTTGCTCAAATAATAGGTTGAACACCGTGTACTTCCCCATATATTTAAAACTATTATATTATCCTCTAGAGAGGATTCGCGAAGTTCGATATAACACTTAACTGTCGTAAAGTTTGAATCACTATCCTCCCACTATGAAACACTAAGTATCACTTATGTTACCGATCAATTTTCCGTTCGATCGTTCTCGAGAACAATTTTCGCGATTTCTCGGAGTATGCATTCAGACCATCAGAGTGAACGAATCGTGATAGAATCACTTTGTTGAACCTCGCACGACTTGATACAGTGAAACCCGAGAAGTGAAAATGAATTTTCAATCGTATAGTGAGAAAGAGTATAACACCCTCATTAAGCCTATCATGCTCACCGCGAAAATGATTTCAATTTGGCCATTAGCAGAGAACAGCAGCCAAGGAACGATATTGTTCAGAAAATTCCATCTATTTTCTATGTTTCTCTTGGTAAGCATCGAATGGTTAAAATTTCGAAATATTTCACTCTAAATAAAACAAAGGATTGAGTTTACAGGTGGTAGTGATGTCGATCGCGGTGACGGCCGATGTGATTCACAATCTGGACGATCTAGACGAGGCAACGGAATGTGCCTTGATTTGTACAGCCTTCTATCTTTGCATCGTTCGTTTGATAGTTTATACGATTCATCAGAAGGATATGCTATACGTTGTGAACACGATGAGGGAGGATTGGACCAGTTCCTCCCCCGAGGATAGGATCGTTTTAGAAGAGAAGACAATGTTCGCCTATCGCCTCGCCAAATACTTCATTAGCACTGTGGCTATTACAATTGTATTATTCATGTGCGTTCCGATCTTGGAAGTGAGTGATTTATTTAACAAGGTTTGAAGACGTTTGACTCGGTTGCAGAATGTTTGATCACAGTAATTTTCTCCTCAGATTTACGTGTTTGATGGGAGCGAGAAGATACTTCCTTTCCGGGGTTATTTTATCATCAATCAAACAGTGTCGCCGGTCTTCGAGTGCCTGTATTTGTTTAACGTAACAGCGGGTGGTTTTGGTGGAAGCATGATCGCAGGAGCCACTAGTTTCAATCTGATAGTGATAATGCACGGTTCGGCCAAGTTTGCGGTTCTCCGGAAAAGACTCGAGGCTTTTAAGGGCAACGATCCTAGTTCCGGTTTCGTCATGGCGGACTGCGTGCATCGTCATCGGCAAGCCATAGAGTGGGTCTCATTTATTCTGTTAACAACTGTATGATTATATGGGACGATCTATGTTTCCAGATACGCGGATGCGCTCGAGAGAATCATAAATGTCCTGGCTTTGGGACAATTCGTCATTAGCACAGGACTTATCTGTTTCGCGGGATTTCAGATCACATCGGTGCGTTCGTTGGATGTACACAAGTCGAAGCATCGTCGATAAAAAGTAAACTTTCCAGATGATGGAGGACAAGGGACGGCTGATGAAATATTCGACATTCTTGAACTCTGCCATAATGGAACTGTTCATGTTCAGCTTTAGCGGAAACGGATTGATCGATGAGGTGATCGTTAAAACTGATCTATGACTTAATGGTTTGAATAAAGGTTAATTATCGATGATATAGAGCGAAGCAGTGGGTGAATCTGCGTACAGCAGCGAATGGATCGGTAGCAAATACTGCAAGAGTCTTCAGATAATGATGATGCGTTCGATGATACCGTCAAAGATAACAGCAGCGAAATTTTATAGCATGTCCTTGCAGAGCTTTTCATCGGTAAGTATGCTTATGAACTTCTTCAATGATACTTCTTTTGAGTATTCTGTGCGTTACACAGGTTCTCAGTACGTCGTTCTCGTATTTCACGGTTCTTCAAGCTACCAAAGACGACTAATGACCTGAATGATGAACGTACATGCTCGTACGCGACATGCTTTATGATAGTAGCCGGACTCATCTCACGATGACTCAACTTACATAGAATATACTTATAGTCGTTCCACTAGTCTAAAAATATCAGTGTACATACAACAAACTACATGCATTTCGTTGTGTTTAGGATTGATTACACCAAGGACGTAAGTGATAAGGATCAAATGATGCGACGATCAAGGTAACAGGTTCTTGGAATAAATCAGATAATAAAATTTTTATCAATTAATTTAACCGTGGTTCATCTGATTCCAAAATGCACTAGGGTGATTCCAATAGAATAAGAATCCCTATCAATTAGGTAAGGGTGAGACCTAGATCAACCAATCTCAAAGAACATCATCTGTTTTCTGAAATTGTTTGATCGACTTATCACTTAGGTCGTGGCAAACTATCCGGGCATAAGTTTAAGGAAAATGTAACGAGTACGACCGAGTTCTCTTTGGGTGGGGTAAAGCATGAGCGAATGGTCTTTGGGAGTGACTCGAGGGTATTTTCATCGCAACAGTAGAACACGTGCACCCGGCCAGTGCACGCACTACGCCAGCTCTTCTCCACTTCTAAGATCCGTAGTGTTCGTGTTCAGTGTTCGTCGCATTGTGCAAAATGTAACTCGACTGATGTTCCAGCTTTCTTCATCTTGTTCGTACAATTCTGTTCGGTTGTACCCGCGACATGAAATAAGAACAAAGTTACCCTATGATGGCAGCCAGCTGATTATTGTCGTCCACGGGATGGCAATATGGCGAACATTAAGGTGGCAGTACGAGTAAGACCAATTTCTGCCAGGTGAGTATTAACATTGAGCACGTATACTACTTAATTATAGGGGTGGGCTACTTAACTCAATGATAATTAAAAATTGCACCTGCTCTTCTTAATTTTAATCTATTTGAATTTTATTACTTCGATTGAGTTATCAAAGATCAAAGGCTCCTTAATTGCTTTTCATTCAATTATCGAGAAGTTAATTACTAGACTTCCGGTCCATAAGGTGTTACACTAACATAGCCTCCCTGTTATCAATAAAGCATTTTCCATGGGTTTAAAATGATAGGAAAAAACTCGCCAGAAGGTAGAACAGTGGAGCGTTTGAAAATCGATTGAGATAATGAAAACGTTGGTTGCAAATTTTAGCCAAGCTTGTGTTGAACATGTTTAGTTGTTAAACCGGCGCCTGGTAAGTCTCAATGTATTTTAAGAAATGGCAGAAAGCAAGGAATAAACGTCTACACTACCGTTTCTTCTCTTCGTTCTACGTTCTCGATACGAGTACCTTCTTGGTGTTAAGGTCAAGGTTTACCGCCTTCCTAGCTCACCGCAATTTCATTTTTGCGAAACATCGTGTTTCCACGATTTTACGAGGACGGTTTCGAGCGGTAATCGTGCACACACACGGCTCCAAGATAATTATTTCGAGCCGGGAAAGGAACGAGGACAGAAATCTGGAGACAGATTTATAGGGGTGCGCCTTTGAGCCGCCACTTATGAACTCGTTTCTATACTTAGAAGATGAGGCCGAAACGTTGTGAAAGTAAGACAAACTAACAATTACTCGGGCAAGCAAGCGCAATATACTCGACGGTGAAAATTAAGGCCACTGGTAATATTGAATCTTGGAAAATTGTTTTCGGAAACGCTGGCTCACGAATTTCATTTGTTTCCTAAGATTAGTACTACCAGACTCTAATAACATTAGAACTCTAAAATACGAAGTACTTTTTGATTTGCAAACAAAGAATCGAGAAGGATAGTGAAATTGCAAAGAGACCTTCTACGCTGACCGGAAAGCACACATCGACGTTCCTCACAGCTCCGTCATGAAATTCATCCAGAAAAGAGAAAAATCAACACCGAACGTTCCAAGTTTCAACTTCGAAAGAAACCAAACCCGGTCCGCCAGACTAAAATAAAACCCAATAAAATCCCATAAAGCTACCGCTGTTTGGTCGCCCGACGTACGGGGGTCGACGAGTTTATTTAAAGCAGCGAATATATCCCTGCGAAGCCCTTGTCGATCCAGGGGATGTCGCAGTCTAGATTACTATGCTGAAGTTCACTTTCTAGTAGGGAAATGTTTATTACTCTTGTGGGAACGATTAGACAAGTAGTTACCGGGGTGGATACTTACGTACTCTATCGATATAACTTAAGTTTGAAAAATCGGATCGGATCGGAAGAGTGACGGATGCTTCAGCGAGTATAACCGGACACGATGACACACGACGACTCGTCGGTTTAACGACTCCAACAGGAGCAACGGGAAGAGCATCCGTTCTAGAATAACACTCGGTTTGACTGGACGGTACCACAAGGGGAAAGGACGAAGAAGATAATAGCAGTGGCGGTTGCTATTCGCGTAACGTGGCTCGCGTAGAGCTGTCGCCTCGATTCATTCAAGAAAACGTCGAGGTTTTCTTGGGTCCGAGTGTTCGACGATGTTTCGCGTCGTTTGCTTCGAGGAATGAGTAACAGTATTCCCTCGAGAACGCGAAGCAAGGATGCCTGGTACTTCATTCAGAATTTCATCCAGCCACTTCGTCCAGCAGTCGAGATTCTCAGGACGGATCGATTTCGAGTATTGCTGGTTAAATCTCTGTCACCGGCTTCCTGCCAATCGATGACTGATGAACTGATCGATGAAAGCCACGGGACACTATGAATGGACGTTACTGTGTACGCTGTATTGCAAACATCGATTGCTACGGTCCCAGCAACGGATTGCTTGAAATTGTTTGTCGAGGGAAGATTTGTAGTTGGCTGTTGGAGGATAGGAAGGGTCAATTTGATCGTTCTCGAGATTATTGTAAATATACCGCGGAAAAGGGGCTGCCGTTCAGGGTTTAAGAAGCTCAGTTGCGGTGTTTGTCGAGTAATAATCGCGAGCTTGGTAAATATAATTCGTTAAGAAGGAAAATCTCCACTGGAAGTTCAACTCTACAACGATTTCCTCTCCGTAATTGAAATCATTACGCTTTCGAGCACGACTTCGTTGACCCAAAACGATCGAGGTATTCATTTGGCAAAAACTTGGATAAGGTGGTACGAAATCGCGCCGATTAGATGGAACAGGGACGGTGATAAGATCACGCGAGGACGGGGTAAAGCACCTCGGTTGCGCTCGTATGCGTTACACGCACGCGACAGCACGTGTGTAATCGTGCTCTTACCTGTCCTGTCACGCCAAATGTTGTACCACGCGACACTGCGACCCGAAAACTCGTTCGGCGGTGATTTGTGGATCGACCGGGCTTCGTTTTTATCGAAACCAACTTGAAATTCAGCAATGCATTGCCGACTCCGAGTAGCGCGAAAAAAAGCTTTTTGATGAAAAAGGTGGAAAACGAAACTGTCGTTTCGAAAGCTCACCGACGAGACTGTCGGGTCTACTCTGTTCTCTTTTCGTCTACAATGACAAACTGTTTCAGGTGCACTCGACTATGTGTTCCAGAACCACCGTGTCACGGTTTAATTAGAATTTATCTTTAATTTTATTTTACATGCTTCGATGCTTGATTTCAATGTCTCTGTCCTACGATTTAGGGAGCTGCATTTAACAGGCTCGGAGGTGGTGGTTCGTACAGACGTGAACGGGATCTCGCTGACGAACCTGAAGGTGTCTTCCAGCAAGGCTGGGGACAGTCGAGAACGGACCAAGAGATATGGTTTCGATTATTGTTTCGATTCATCCGATCAACAAGCTGAAAATTTCGCTGACCAAGCGAGGATCTACGAGACACTCGGTCAGTCTGTTCTCGAAGCGCTCTTCTCAGGATACAATTCCTGTCTGGTGGCGTATGGGCAAAGTGCATCAGGCAAGACTTATACGATGATGGGGACCAAGGTATCCTTTTGTTCACCATTTGTATATCTCATGAATATCTTGATGTTCCTTTGTTTTGCTCGCAGGACGATCCAGGACTCACACCTCGACTTTGCAAGGGGCTGTTCGCCAGGATGGAGGAGGAAGCGAAGAATGAAAAGAATTATTGCGTTTCGGTTAGGTAAACGCTGACCATTATTTTCTTACAATATTAGAAAATCGGGTTAAAATGTATACAGGGTATTTACATTTACACATGTAACACTCCCTATATAGGGGTTTACAAGATTAACTGTGCCAGTCTAAGCGGATCGTTGGTTCGAAGTTGACCTCATTTCCCCGGCAATTAATTATCCACGTTTCCTTTCGGAAATAATTGGAAACAGGACACAGTCTTGCATTTTGTCGACGATTCTCTGCAATTAAGAATCTTATCGACGAATCCCAACCCATTGTCCTGTCATCTTAAATTTCTCCCTCGTTCAATTACGGACTGTATCGGCGAGCAGGTGAATTTTATTCGATGCAAACCGAACGTAGATGCAAGGCACGGTGATAACGCGTTCGAATTGATAACTGTGGGAAACTTAACATTCGTGGCGTCTTTCGTAGAGCGTATCGACGAACTTACACCAATAAAGGAGAACGGTATCAACCAATCGACGACTGTCGGTCAAGGTTCGGTTATCGGGCCAATTTTCACCCATCATTTACGGCAGACTTTGTCCCGCTCGATCGTTTCGATAAGTCAATTCGTTACTGCTTCCACGTGTGCTATTCGGTAATCTAATTGCTGTAAGTTCTGTTCGCATTCTGCTGTGCCCTCGTACGGCTTCGAGAAACCTCGCGCTATGAACGGTGATTAGTTTATTGTTCTAGTTGCTACAATTTTGCAAGATCAATTATCCTATTTGAGACGTGATAATCTTGAAGCTTATCCGTTCGGCTGCAAGTTGGACTTATTAGGAAGGACGATCGCCGAGGAACCGGAAGTGGCACGCGACACGATTGTCTCGGCTCGTTAACGAGTGCAGGGGTCGTGAAATCAGGAACGCGTCTACTGAAGGAAAATATTGTGTGTCGGATGGAGAGGTGGGCGGTGTTGGAAGGGGATGGATAGACATGGAAGTCGAGCTTAGGAGTCGCGAGTTTGCAAGCGCTGTTGGCCTGAATGTGTCTTGTAAGCTCAGTGCCCCGTGACTCGCAATCCTAGGCGGACGCAAGCTCGCTTTACCTCGGTAAGAATTTTTACCACGGTACAAAACCTTCCTAATTTCACTTGCACTTCGACCTAACGCCATCGTTTCATCGCCCGGTTACGCCAATTTTCAAAATTTCATCCATTTTTCGGGGAAACGCAAAGAGAAGGTCGAACAGCTCTTCGAAATCCTTGTCTGATTTTTCATTTATATCGAAATACACGTTCATTCTTTCGAACGCTTCAAACATTTTCACGGTACACCTGGCAAATATTTTGAAAAGCATTCGTAACTGGATTACGTTTTTCAAACTTGAACGGCATACAATCCTGTAAATGAATTTCTCTAAAGATTTTTTTTTTTTAATTTCATACAAAAAGCTTTAAATGCTTTGAATGTTCGGTTTGCACTGCAAAAAGAGTACTATTTCAAAACAACGGAACGAACGCAAACCACACTGTTTTTTATTCAAACTTCATCCATATTGATGAAAAAAATTTCCCTGGAAACTCTCCTTGAATCTTCGATTCGCACTTCTCCTCGTAAACACCGTTTTTATTCCTATATTAAACGTTTCTCGGATTGCCTTGAGCTCGGTGTAAAATTAAAAAACGAAAGAGTTGATCGTGTCAGAGGAGCACTCGTAAAAATTGTATTTACCGTTTTCGCGTGAAATATTGCCACTCATACTCTATTTTTTCTCCTGTTTGTTATTCTTTTGGAGAGGAAAGAAAATGGAACTCTGTGCATCGATCCGATATATTTTCCCGTTCCCGGATGACATATTGAGACTTAAAAATCACTCGCCGTTCGGCTGTCATTCAAAGAAACTTTCTGTCGTTTCGTTATCGAGGACAACGTCGTGCTCGAGCACGTTTGCATTCGTAACTCCGGCATTTTCTCGCTGGAAAAGCTGATCTTGAGGAGGAATAGAATTTGATTCGTTTTATTTCTCCGTGTGAACGTTCTCGTTGAGGAATTTCGCTTGATATATTGCAAGATAACCGAATCGGTCAGATCGAACGGGCTGGTTCTTTTGGACTGGTTCCTCGTCACTCGTCGACGTAAAATCGTTAAGTGGGTCGGCGAGTGAACGAAAAGCGAGCGAATGAAAATCGAGGAACAATTCGATTCTTTGCTGTTACTTGAACCACTCACTGATACTACAATAGAAATTCAAGCAGTTCAATGATTTTTATATAGGTATTGCTATTGAAAGCGCAGTTTTGTCGATCCATTGAATTATTTTTTATTTTATAGGTCAATTGATCTCATAAATATGCTATTGATATTGCACTCACCACGTCATACGTGACAATTTAGCTACAAATGTCAACCGATCGTTAGCAAGGATCAAAGTTTGCAAAGAAACAACATTTTTATCGCCGAGGAGAGCGTTTTCAGGTGTTCATCATCCGTAACTGTACCGTGAATCATCCTTTGTTCCCTGTTCGTCGTTAAAAAAAAAAGGATACGACAGATTTACGCATGTCCAACAGAAACATTTCGCAGTGCTGGAATACTATAAATTCGCGTTTGTACGATCACCGGCAGTTATTAAAAGTGCCAGGGCAATTCGTTGTTCACCTAGGGAACAAATGTGGCTCCTGTCGCGGCTACACTCCATCGTCTGCTTCGAATGTAAAGCCACCGAGCTACCGTCGTCATTCATGTTTCTTTCTACTAGCAGAACCACCAACAAATTTGGACGGTGAAATTTTTCAGAAATTTTCACCCAACCAAACCATTCTCGTTCGTCCTGTTTACGCAACGACCATTAATGCCACCCCCTATCCTGAAAATATCTCGTGTACCCTTCAGATTAAAACGTATCCGAAAGGTTGCTTGTTTCTACGCGATAATAATTCCTGCTAATGGACCGAGCTCGTTATATTCTGGATGAAAAATTTCGACGATACCGGGATCCTTTCGATTCGCGAAACCTAGTTTCACGACATTTTTACGACACGAAATTTACGCTTGTCGTGTGAAAAATCCGATGGAATTATTATCCTTCTCGCGACGTGACAGTATTTTGGCATCCGTCACCAGATGGAGTACAAGAGATCAAAATTCTCGCAAGCACTCGTCTTAACAACGATCACCAATCTTGATTTTTCATAGTATTCGACTTATTTTGTAGATGATTGAACTTGAAATTCCAAAGATAACCACGCTCGAACAATCTCAGTTCACTTTGAAACAACGAACAAACAGCAGTTTCGACCTACGGCCTTCGATGGCCGTGAACTATACGAAATATCGTTACGGGAACATCGGTTTTTCCGACGTCGGTCATTGTGGAAAATTCATTGAAGCTTCTTCCTCTCTTTTTTTCCCCGCGAGCATTTCCTCTATTTGCCCTCGCTCGTTCCTTTTTACACCAACGCTGCCAGCCAACAGCGAGAAAATTCTCGCTGCTAATTCTGTTTGCCGTTGTTTTTGTTTTCCTTTTGCACCATTGGCGTTTGTTTTCCTTTCGTCCTGCACTTCCCCTGCTTGCGGTACGTTTTAATTCCATGGCTGCCAACAACACCCCTCCTCTTCGTCTCACCCCGTTCCGTCTCTTTTTTTTCGCACTTCTTCCCCTTTCGAATCCTACATCGAATTGCCTTCTATCGATCACCTTTCCTTTTTATTTATTTTCAAGCTCACTTTACTTCTTTCAAAATCTCTCTCACCTGCGTTAACACTTACACGGACATTATATTTTCTTTTCGACCATCATTGTCACAGGTTTGACCGTCGTTATCAAGGTTTATTATTCCCTCCACCGTGTTCCCTCTATTCAGATCCACCACTCTTTACAGCGACCATTGTCAAAGGTAGGGTCTTTACTTTTCGCCAAGACGCGAGAGAATTCCTTTCCCTTTGTTACTCAGGAATTAAAGCGTCCGTAGGAAAGCTGTAAATTCGTTTATGTACCGTTTTCACCGTCCCGGATGACGGCGTTGCGCGACACGCACCGGCGAACAATCGTAAAAAGGCAGTTTCCAAGAGAACGTTCTTTAATCGCGATGAAAAATTATTCATCAGGACGAAAACTGTTCTGAAAAACAATGTGGAAAAATTCCTCTGAATTTGCGCCATGTTCCTTCAGGGGTGATAATAATGTAAAAACTCAAGCTTTCAAAGAATTTACGCGAAAGAACGATTCGCGAATTTATCGGGGAACGGACCGATAGAGAACTAGTTAGCAAGCAACGGCCAGTTAATTAACTGCTTTTTCGCGAATATTTCCGCGACGGTTTCGCGGCTCGTTTATCGGCATACAGCCACTCGGGAATATACACGCGGCCGTCGGATCGATAGTACGGTTTTGTTGTGCAATTAATTATACCTATTAGCGAATCGTACTCGTCAATAAACGCGAGGGGGCCGAGCCAGGGCATAATTTAATTTACGATCTAACAACGATCCTGTTACAATTGACACGTCCCCCTAATAAACAGGGCTAATGTCGCGAGTAAAATTGTTGCACGTTTACATCCTCGTTAATTCGTTCGTTTCCAGGTGAATTTATAGGAAAATATATTTTAAAAAAAGGATATACGAAACTACCCTGCTATTTTTCAATTTCGCAAAATATATCACAAAATTCAAAAATTCTATAAAAAAAAAAAAAACACAAATTTCAATATACGAATAATTTTTCTTATCGTTGTCTAAATTTTCGCTGAAAATGTTGATTTAGAATCCCAGATATCTCTGGCATCGTTGTTTAAGCGAGAATTTTCACTTTGCCAGACAATTATCGAACATCCAAACGATCAGTTTGCAAGCCGCGCGTTCCAATCTCCCCGTTGGGAACACAGTCATGGTTGTTCAGAAATGTTTCAGAGTCCAGGATGATTCGTTGGCGGCCAATTGATCAGGAAGCATCGTCATTAGGCATCGACGTTTAACGTGATTAAGTCGCCGAATTCGTACGTGATAGCATGCCGTGCAGCTCTTCCCATCCGCAATGAAACGGTAACCGATCAAAAGCTCCGCATTACTTATGGCTGATTGATCGATAGAACCCCTCTATCTTCTCGCTCTATCATCGTTGTTGCCTTCTATCGTTCACATTTTCTTTTCTCTTTCCCTATCGTGTCTTCCCTCCTTCCACCGCCACCGTGAAAGCATTAATTCAACTTCGACCACGTTCTCGATTCCCGGTCATTACGATCGTCAAATTCAATTCGAGCTGCATTTCACAGTTTCTATTTGTTAGCGATTTCAAATCTGACGCTAAATTTTAATCGAACCTCTGATACACATGGTTTAAGAAGAAATTTCGGAAAATTTTCGTTTGGTATTCCTATTTATAACTAGAATGAGTTTGAGTCGGTTTTTGAAGATAAAACGACTGTAAAGGGTTTTGAGGGGTCGAGTTCCACGCAAAGGGCAGCTGAGAGTTGTCTGATCCGGCTTTCAATCTCGAGCCTGGATCTTCCGACACGTACCTCTTAACGAGACCCTTTGAATTTCAGATTCGAACAATTCGCAGGAATCAGCGACCGAATGAATTCCAAACGAATAACGTTTCTTTAATTCGCGGGCCTGATTGCTTTTCTCCTTCGAAGACTCTTCGTAATCACGCGACGTTTTAACGAGTCGTCGACCCACTCCACGAGCCTCCGATCCTCCACGGTTGCCATCGTCCTAATACAGTCAGCTACGTCGAATCATTAACTGGAAAGAATTTTCGCGGGACTGAAAAGTAGTAAACGGCGACACATGACGTTCACGCGATTCCTCGAAGCGTTTACACGCTCGTTCGTAAATATCGACCCTAGATTACTGGGTCACCGAGAGCACAGCCGCGAATCGGCTTGCAACCGTGGAAAATCTTGCAAGCTAGACGGATTCCACGGCTCTGACTGCGCGATAGAAGGATCCTTTTTTTTTCCCTTCGTGGCAATATTGAAATGTAGACACGGATCGATTCTTATTTCGACACCGTTCGCCTCCTAATATCCGACAATCACGAGAACCAGTTTTCGTTTTCTCTGTTACTTTTTTCACGAATACGGTTCGTTTTGTCTCCATCCATATCGTAATCAACGACTCGACGCAAGGCATAAGATTAATTAGTCGCGATAAGCTGATTTCTCTTGCTTATTCCCTGTTCGAATACCGACAGATTGAATCACGCGTAAGAATGGTTGTTATAATAGTTTGGGAGACAGCGTTGATTTCCATCATTAGCGTTCATAATACAAAAGATAAATTCTGGGTTAGCTCGAATTTCAGCGAGTTTGATTACCTTGCTCGTTATCTGATAATTATACATTATAAACGGAATATTAGTTTCCCGACTGGATGGAATCGCAGGCTTCTCAGCGCATTTGAAACGTGAAACAGACTCGAATATATCGTCTATCGAATGGAACGCGACTTGGCTCTGTACTTTTGATTTTCTTGCCACGATGAGATTAAAATATCCTCTAACCAGTATAAATTTAGTCCAGCTTTGACTCACCGGTGGAACTAAAAAGGCTCCTGACCTATCGCAAATGATTAAAATTTTCTTTTAATTGTTTTTCGAAAAGCTGACGAACGAAAATGAAAGAAACGTAGGGAATTATCTGGGCAAAACTTTAAATAGCTTCCTCGCGATTCTTCTCTGTTGCTCGGCAATCGCCGGGGCGATAAAAAGGCTGAGTTTACAAAGCAGCCGTTATTCTTTTAAGGGCGAGGGCAATTTCCTTCTGGAACGTGGAAACGTTCTGCTACGAATTTCGCGATCGTAAATGCAAATAACTCGAGATTAGAGAGTTCGATCGTTGGCCGAGATTACCTGCCACAAAAATTCTGAAGCTTCTCTTTAAAGAAGAGAAGGTAGCCGAGACTCGGGTATATTTAGACGCACTCGCACTCTCGTTTCTCACGTGTAGCCGAAAATTAGCACGTTTTAGGGTCAAGGAAAGAGACGTAAACGTAGATGATTCCACGAGTTCGTTCGATTTTCTAATTTCCAGAAATGCGTTCACTGCTGCTTCCTCAATGAATCAGCACCGAACTGCATTCATCCCGGAACGTTTCTGAATACTTTCAGTGGTCACGAGCCAGACGACTCTATTTACTTTGAGCTGAATTCCGTCAGATTCACGGAATGAAATACGCGATGTCAAAAGGTAGAAGCTTTCCAGGAGATTTAGGAATGATTCTGACAGAAATTCGAAACAGTTCTAATTTTTGAAATCCTAACTGAAGTTGCCGTGATGCTTCTGCCTCGTTGATTTTTGGCTTTGATTAGTCAGTAAATAAGTCCGTTTGATAAAGTATTTTGATATTTGGCAGTAAACTCCAGTTTTCCTCATCAGGGAAACGAGTATTCTATACATTTGTATTTTCAAAATAGTTCCATCGAAGTAGAAATTGCAACGTCCTAGTTGACTATCGCGATCCATTTAAATGGACAAGGAGGATGTTGAAATTCGAAGGGTATGACAAATAGGATAGTTTCGAAAATGGAAGGGAAAGTATAGAAGAGCGACACAGGTAAAGGACAGTAACCGCGAGGTGGAATCCAAGCAGAAAGTGTTTCTCTGGGCGTACAGTGGAAACTGCGATCGCTGTTAAGCGGATTTACGATCGCACGTGCGGACGTTTCACGGGCACAGCCGAGCAGATAATGACGTTAAGAGGATCCGAGAGCTTGCGATGGTCCGTGTGTTCACCTACAAGCACCGTTCTAACGAAAAGTATGCGACTAACGTCCGATAAATCTTTGTACTTTCAACCGACACGATTCCGTCGACTAAAAATACCAGTCGCGCGGAATTGTTCCGAGCGAGCAAACAAAAATTCCTCGATTGTATCGCGAACAACGTAGCATCGAACGATGAATTAATTTCCAGGATGCAGGGAAATCGATCGAGCTTAACGCGGGCCATGAAGTGGCGAATTCATCGACGTAGTTGCCAAATGAACGTAATTAATGAAACGCGATAGTTGAAGCATGATACCGATTGGGAATTCTGTTTCAGTTACTTGGAGATATACAACGAGAGGGTAAGGGATCTTTTGAAGCCGTCCTCGAGTACAACGGGACTGAGAGTTCGCGAGCATCCTCGACTCGGCCCTTATGTCCAAGGTAGCGGAAATCGAAGACATCATTTCCGATCGCTGGCAATTTCGATAATTGCCATTCAGAGGAAGCTCGGATCCTCCTCGATTTCGCTGTTGGAAACTTCCAGTCTGACTCTTGTTATTTTAGGTTTGACGCATCACGTGGTCCGCAGACTGGGGTCGTTGATGTCCTACGTGGAGGAAGGGACAAAGGCCCGGAAGACAGCGTCGACGTTGCAGAATCCGAGCAGCAGCCGCAGCCACGCTTTGCTTACGATCGGCCTGACCGAGGAGACGCCAAGCGTCGCGAGTGGCGCCGTTACATCGCCGTCTACGTCCACGAGGAGGAACGAGATCTCTCCACGAGCTGGTAGTAAACTACGCTTGGTCGATTTGGCGGGCAGCGAGAGTGCAGCCACGTGCAGCGGCGTTCATCGACTGAAGGTGAGTCACTTACTAAAAATAATATCCAAGCCAGAAACGGAAATCGATAATCTTGGGAAGCTTTTCGAGCAGGTAAGAAATCAGAAAACGCAACAATTGCTGAATTTCCTTCACGGGGGTTGTTGATCGACTTGCATCATTCCACCAATCGATCTGTTATCGATAGAAAAATCCTCGAAATTCTTTGTTTACCACGAAACATGAGAAAACACATGGTTGAAAAAGAAAAAGATTGTAACTCGTGTCTTTGCAGGAGGGTGCGAATATAAACAAGAGTCTAGTGGCTCTAGGGAACGTAATATCAGCCCTCGCGGAGAGAGGCTCGACCGGAAGTGGTCCAGGCAGAAGGTTCATCCCTTATAGAGATTCTTCGCTTACTTGGCTGTTGAAGGACGCACTTGGCGGAAATGCCACTACCATTATGCTCGCCAGTAAGTGTCTTCCCTTTGATCTTCCCTTCTTCTGCTCTCACTTTTACCACCCTTACGATCCTCACTCTCCTCCCTTATCTCTCAATTCCTCTTCTCCTACATTATATTTATTTTTAGAAGATGCCCTCTTCTCGTGTATCCACTTAAACGATGATTTACACGTTCAACGAGCAGTTTTACTCCCTTTACAACCATCAATCCATTGTTAACCCTTAACTGTTACGATCGAAGTTTCATCATTCTCGGAATTTCCAGTTAGTGTCATTTATTAATCGACTGAGTAGGCTGCTCCAGGATCTCACCGTAGCAATTAAGGATTAATGCAGTTTACTTTTCTTCCAGATTCACCCTCTCGATCATCTCCGTTCCTGTTCCATTAGAAACGTCGTTATTATTCCATTTCATCCCTGTTTCCCAACCTGATTGCTCTACGATCGCGATATTTAATTCGAGAAGACGACTCAGCTTCCCTGACGCGACAAAAAAAAAAAATTGACAGTCGTTTTTTTCCACCCTTCCTTGACTCCCTACCACCATCCCTCCGTCGTCACTTAACTCCAGCTTTCCGTAAATTTCACTTAATTGCCAGAGAAGAATTATTATCGCGAGCCTCTGATTCATGAAATTATCCTCGCGATAGCCGAGCACAGACTCGAGCCGGATGGTAATTGGTTTAAATGCTTTTCCAGGCGAGCTAAGGCGCGGAGATTAAAATTCGATAAGCGTAGCGGGCGCGAAAGCGTAGCGACGGGAATCGGTAAATACGAAATCCTTTAAGCTTTGTCGAAGTAGCAGTTAAAGCCAGCTGATTTCATTTCATTTTTTCTTTCCGCGGCGTTAGATGACGGCATTAGAGTATTCTTGGAGTCATTCTAGATGTCTCGTAGATGGACGTACAAAATTCTTCGTACACGTAGTTAGATTATACATAGCACGTACACTATTATTCAAAAGTAATTAAGACAGAATCACATCCTTAATGTTCCATCAAAGTATCTTACACCCCTTTTGAATCACCCTGTACGATCTTCATCCCAGATACGAGAGGCATCTCGTTCATCTAAGAACGTATAATAACATCCAAATAGAAAAACGAATTACTAATTAACGTTCTACGATCGATATGTATTCCTAGGTTGACCGCATTGCGTATATAATTAATCCGGGGGTGAAATATTCGAAACCGCTGATCATCGACGACCAATTGAATTGCTAATAACATTCGGGTTTATTATCAACCGGCCTCCATGTATGTTTAATATTCAATGTTCTATTCGCGATTGAATCAAACGATCGACAGCTTTTATGTTTCGACACTTGATAGAATTAAAATTGTCTGCCAGTCGGCGACGCTTCTCGTTTCACAGACGAACGGCCTCCGAAAATTCGGTCGACTTTTTGAAAATTCCTGTCGTTTCACGCTGTACGACAAAATAAACGTTTATTCGATTGATCTACCCACCCTGAAATTCAATTAGTCACATTGTGTCGTTTGCGAGTGATTGCGAGAGGGGAGAATTGATTCGAGGTAATATTTTATCCGGTACAACGGGTCGGCACGATTAATTATCGAGTCGCTTATCATCGTTATACACGGCACTCGTCGTCGACAGAAAAAAAATGTGTAGTTTAACTCTTTCTATTGGAAAAATTCGGCTGATAGACGAGCATAGAATTTGTTCCTATGGGAGAATAGTTTAGGTGGCATAAATATGATTTCAATATACAACCTGTGTTTACCTGTGTTGCTTGCAGCGATCTCGCCAGCAAGCGGAAGTTACAACGAGACAGCGCACACCCTGCGGTTCGCGCAAAGGGCGCAAAGCGTGGTCAATCGGCCGGTGGTCAACGAGGATCCCGTGGCGAGGATCATTCGCGACCTGAGGGCTGAAGTGGCAAGGCTGAAGTCCTTGTTAGTGGAAAAGGCAAGTATTTCTGTTAGAATATTTAATTTACAAAAGTTTCAAAAATTCCCCAAGCTCTGCAATCGAATAATAAATTACTAATCGAGATACGCGTAAAAGGAAATGATAATGAAAGTAATACGTAACAAAGATCAAATATGGAAACAGAAATATGGATACAAAATCATTGAACCAATTTATTCGGCACTCAACCGATTGCAAAATCTCGTCGTTTACCTAGAAGCTGAATCCGGAGATTGGTTCACGGACCAACGGGTATAAATCGGGCAAGTTTATTATCGGTCCTGGAAACCAGTATAAACTCGTATCGTCGAACCGTCATTACGCAAATGAAATGCATGAATCGTTTATTTGATGCTCATTGAGCGACCACTGACTCCGCCCCTTCCCACGATGCTCCATCTGAACGATTGCTGATAAAATACACGGTTCGCAGGTGTTGCCGTACGTTTAACAGAGATATTCTCGTTTCCATTTCCAGATTTTACAATATTCTTGCGTTACGTAATTGCTCATTAATTAGCTCCATGGAATATCACTGCTACCCGACCATTATCCTTTCTATTATTCCTATCGGTCATCAATTTTCACCAATCATTTCCATCTACGATAATTACTGTCGTTATTTTACAGAATATCGAGCCGAGTATTAAGGCATTGTGCGATTGCTATAAAAATCAGCTGCTGGATTCGATCAACCAACAATCGAATAAAGGAACCGAAGTTGAAGACTCGGAATCAATCAAAACGTCCAAGAAAGAAGGCACGGAAATAAAAGGATCGAAAGAAGATGAAGGGTTGAAGGTGGACGACCACAAAGGGTCCACGTGTCTGCCTACTTTTCGAAGATCCAATTCAACCGACAGCGTGATCGTTTGCGAAGCTGATTCTTCCATAAAGAAGTTCAGTTCGTTCGAATCCTTAACGACGGCCGATCGTTTCGCAGGGAATTACAAACGCGCGCGAGTGACGGAACTGAACGACGAGGAGGACGAAGCGAGGGAGATTCACGAGTCGGTGTTCGTCGATATTCCGACGTTGGTGGCGGTTCTCATCAAGCCGGACGATAATCTTCAAGAAACGTCCGCGCAGATCGAGGAGATTTGTTCGGACGAGGTTGCCGAGGACTCGATCGAGTTCATCGAGGCAGCTAACGATCGTGAGACGTTCGAAGACCCGGAGAAACTCGACGGCGTCGATCACGACGAGCGAAGTAGCTCCGTTAACTCGTGTCACGCGTCCGGCGACAACGAGCTCGATGCGTATCAACAACCGGTCTCTTCAAGTTCGAGTACGGTGTCCAAACTCAGGCAGAAGCCAAAATTCCGCAAGCAGGACTCGGTAGACATACTGTCCCCTTCGATTTCATCGAACTTGCATACGTCGAAGAGGTTCGGTTCAGTGGAGACGATCCTGAAGAGGAAGAAAGAGCCAGTATTCTCTTTGGAGAGGTCTCATACGAATTTAGAGAAGCGTCAGACGCTTGGAGGGAAGAAATTGAACAATATTCGAGAGATAGAAGATCAACAACTCTGTACTGGGTCAAATTGGAGGGGAAGCAAGGATCAGCTTCAGAGGAAAGGCAGCAACGAGTCTGACAAGAGTCTGAAGGAAAAGACGAAGAATCACGCGAGGAAGCCGAGTTTAGAGAACTTGAAGAGGAAGACCAGTAAGGATAGCAGCTCGAGCAGCTCGAAGGACGAACAGATTTTGATTTCTAGCCTGGCGAGAGATAAATTACTGCGCAGGAAGAGCTCCATAGAGCAGGAAGCAACGTCTATCAGGTCGCACACGCCCATACAGCGTGTGAAACGAGCCGAAATCGTGGCCGCGGTTACCGAGAGACTGTACTCGAGCAGGAAACCTGCCGAGGATGTTCCCGAGGTCCGTTCTCCGCCAGAGAACGCGAACGTCAAGTCGCTGGCGAAGATGAAATTGCAGGAGATCTCGAGGAAGATGCTGGGGAAACGTAGACGAGTCTGCGTGGAGACGCAGACCGAGTGTTTGCAGACTGTACGTTTAAAGGACACTGCTTCCTTAACGGAAACGCCTAAGATTCTTTGCAAGGATGTCGGGGTGTTAACCGACGATCACGTGGGCTGCGAACAGCTGATGGTTCGAAAGATACCGATCCTCCGAGTGAAGGAAATCGCTACCTTGACGGACAAGCCGAAGACGAGGATCGTCAGGTGCAAGGACGTGGCCAGTCTAGCGAACGACCTCGAGGAGTTCGATTACGAGTTCCATTCGCCTCGCAACGATTCTGGAATCCTCTCGGACGACACTCAAAACTACGCCGAGAGTAATCTATCCAGCACAGAGGTGTCCGATCTTTGCCCGGAAACCGATCGCAGAGTTTACACAGAAAGTTCGACCAACACGGTAGTCTTTTCACCCTGTCGCAGTTTCGCGGTTCAAACACCGCGACCGGAATCATTCAACCAACAACCGACGGAGAACAAGACCCTAGTTTGCCTGAGACAGTGTTGCAATTCCATTGAAAGCTCTCAGAGTCGATCGACAAGTGGAAATATAGAGAAGAATGTAATTAGCATATCGCTACCAGACACCCTCAACATCGTCATCGAAACGAGAAATGCTTTAGAATCCAAGGTCTCGGTTACCGACAACGATTCCTCCAAAGAGAAGCTGAAATCTAATCGAAAGGAATGCGAGACTCAGACCGAAGAATCGAACGAGGCTGTTCCTTCGAAGGATGCAGGTAGATCGATCCTTAGTCAGACGGACGGAAGGGTGTTCAGGATCGAGAACATCTTTCAGGACCCTAACAACGTGTCCAACGGGTCGGCCAGAGTAGACGTGGTTGCGGATCGAACAGAGGGTACGAGGAATTCCATTACTTTCAGGAATTCCCTGGGGACATCGTACGTGTTCGAAGGCAAGCAGGGAGAGCCGGGAGGAGACAGGCTTCACGGTGAAGGATTTATCAGGGACGGATTAATCACCGAGGCGTTTATCACCAGGAAGCGTAGTTTTAATTTCAAAAGAGCACCTAGCACGATCGTTTACCGGAATCCATGGAGGAACTGGTCGTTCTCCGATCCACTGGCCAACGCAATTCATTCAATCGATCGCGCGAAAGGGTCGACGACGACACCGTCTTCCTGGCAACCGCAGACCGACGAAATTCCAGCGGTCAGCACAAATTTGTCGCTCGAGGAAAACAATGGTGTGTTGCGACAATGTCAGACGGAGCCTGAAGAGATCAACGTCGAAGGAATCTCTCAGATAAAGCCTTCTTCCAGCAACGATCACGATCACGGTTTCTCCGATGATAGTCTCGATTACAATGAGATCAATGCTTCTACCGAATCATCTACCAAATTGAAACAGATGACTGAAAAGCGTGAGAGCTTCTGTCCACCTGACGTGGTGGCGCATACCAAGAAGGACTGTTCAAAATCAATCGAATCGGAGAAGGTGGAGCCGGAGGAAGATTTCGAGGATAGTCAAGTAGAATTCCCGAAGAAAAACCCAGTGGAATCGATTGAGCCAACCAAGATACACGATTACAAATCACTGATCCTTGGTACGTAAGAATTTCATTAATTCCTTGAATGTAAATATTCAATCGCAAATTTTTACTTCCAGGTAGGAGTTGTTATAATTACGAAGAGGTTAACGAAGAGTCTGACGGTTCCACGAGTCGTGTGAATAATATTGGAAAGAAGAAGGTGTCCTTTTCAAGTTCCAGTGTTCCCCAAAACAAGGTAGATCGGAATCAGAGTTTAAAACCCACCCTGAAGTCTATCATCAAGAAGAGAAGAAAGAAAAACGTATCGGAACCCGTGGAAACCGTTCAATCTTCGAACGACGAGACTGATGATTCGCAACAGGAAGAGAAGGCTAGTTTGACTTCGGAGACTGATTGGAAAGGGGATGTACAGTCGACCAGTTCCGAGGAAATGTTCAGAGAGGAACAGGATGTTGCAGGTTCGAGTAGAGATCACAAACAGAATTGCAAGAAGGTGAAGTTCTCTGAAGAAGAGTTGCACGAGAACACGTGCAGCGAGTCGGATAGTTTCGAGAACCCGGACGATGATGAAGAGGATGTTTCGTACCATTCTCCGACGAGGAACATCCTCGAGGAGTACCTCAGCGAGGCGATGATCTTCATGCGGAATCTCAACTCCATCAACGAGTTCGTGAACAGTACTAGCATGCTCGAAAGGTGAGCAAAATGATATTATTTCTATATTAAATGAAACAAATGATATTTATATAAAAGAAGTTTGCAAAATAAATCAATCTATCTATTTCTTTCCCAAGGAATGCAAGTCCAAGTCACGGATCCGGTGGAAAACGAGGTAGCCGTCGAAGGAGTAGCTTCTCCGACCGGAATCGCGATTACGAGGAACCGAGGGGTCGTAGGGTCAGCCTAAAGGAGGACACCGACGATCCACCGTCGAACGATGATATCGTCCTTTCCACGGAATCCTACGAAAGGTGTCTGAAGGGTATTCAGAGGCTGGAAGAATGCATTCGGAGGGTCGACAAGCATAACGAGCTACTTCGCGAGAAATACGGTGTCGACTGTGAATCTGCTGGCGCTAGACTAAGTTTAGCGAGTCCTAGCACAGATCCTCGTGTACCGACGACCAGCAATGAGTTCACGATTCCTCCTAACACGGACGATCTCTACGACCAACCATCCAACGTGACAGAACAGCTAGCCAACCCTCGATTAACAGAAAGCAGCCAGGAAAACGATCTCGAGAAGAGGATCTTCGATCAACTGATGAACGTCGCCAATTCTGTTCGTTGCGGAACGTCCAGTAAACATCGGCTTTCAAAATCGATCGGTTCCAGGTCCCAGAGTCCCGGAAGTTACTCAAAATTTCGAGAGAAGCACAATCAGGCGATAAGAGAATCATTTCCCGGGGATCTTAGCGGTAGCTTCAGCTTAGAAGGCACCTCTGATGGCAACGATCAAGAGGATGTCACTACTTACGAGATTACAGGGAATCTATCGGTCGGCAGAACTCGTTCGATGGATCAAATTGTCGACGATGACTTGGACTCGACGATGGAAGAAGATTTTTTACCTCTGAGAAGATTTAATAGCTCTTCTTGGTCGTCTAATGCAAAGAACACTGAAGCCAGGTTCCTCGGTTTGCCTTCGAGGACGATCAAACGCGATGATTCATCCAAATACAATTTTCCCTCCAATTATGAAACGATGAATGGCTCGAGGTTTATCGATATCGATGATTCGTCGAGGAAAAGTTTCAAGAGTTTTCCTGTCCATAGAGTGCCGTCGTCTGATAACACGCGGAAAAGGGAATTTCACGAGTCGGACGATTATTCGCGAAGAATCAGGAACAGTGGATCGAAAGTGTGCGGTTGTTTGAAAGATCAATCGGATATCGAGAGCTCGAGCGAACTGCTGCGTCTAAGGGATAAGTTGAAATATCCCGGGAGTCCCAGAGCAAGATTCCTCGAGCTTCTCAGGGAGAGACGACGAATAGTTGAATACAGCAGAGGCACCAGTGCCTCTTGAATCGTTTAACGTATTTTTCTATTGTATACCATCGACATTCTTGTAAATAATATAGAATTAGATTTTTCTAACGTTTGTCATCGCACCTGATTAATTTAACACATTAATCACTCCTTCCTTGTTCATGTTATTAAAATATCTTCATTAAAGATCGTATTTTTCTCTAAATCTTGCGTTGATGCTTTTATTCTCCTCTACCCAATTTTTCTAGCTCAACAGTCTACAAATCACACACTTGTTTCACGATCGGAGCGTTTCATAATCCAGCATCCAGGTGTATCTCTATTTCTCTCCGTCGATTTATCGGGTAGGTGGTCAGAGTTTTTGACGACGATTTCATGGTCCAAGAAGTAGTTCGAATCGAAGTGAATTACGAGCGACGCAGCTCGAGTTTCGCGCTTTGTTTCTGCGAAAAGCCGACGCACCTGACTCGATGGTTTGTTATAAACTAGAAACACACCGACGATAACTGCGACAGTAATGATCCATACTGTCGTGACTTGTTCTAAAACCTACTGCTCGGTTTGCTGAGTCGACACGGTTTGTTTCAACCAAGAATAAAAAAAAAGGACACGTGCATAAATTCATGAGAATCGAGTTTCTTGATGCAGTCCACACACATATGCGTTTTTGCATACGCTCTCAAACGAGCATCGTTATGCTTGCATCAGCATCAGAGGCAGCATACGAATTGCCAGTTTTCATGATTTTTCACGTACATATCTCGACACGTGTTTCTCGAGGAGACAACTTTTGGTAGGTACAGTTTTGAAAAAATAGGGGATGAAAGAAGTATCGCGTTTGTCATGTGTTTGAACCGAGATGAAACTGTGCTCCTGTTATTTGAATGTTTGTAAACCGAAATTATCATAGAGGTTTCGCGACGCCTGATAGCGACGTGTCAGTGCATATGTCTTGGTAAGCGTCGAGATTCGATAATGAGTATAAAATTATTGTTGTCAAATAGAACCGTGTTAAAGCGACAAGGGTCACACTGAAAATAGACATACGACTTATTGAAAACGTTGCACAATTCAGTAATCAAAGCGTTTAAGTAAAGAGTGACTAATGAGAAGAATTTCAAATATACAGCACTGATTATTTCAACATTAAGGCAATGCAAGCGTCGAGGCCTAACTCCGAATTCCGCATCGGTAAAACAGCCCATGTTTGATCGAAAATTAAACTGAACAGAAACTGATTCAAGTGCCACCTCAGTTATTGCATCCAACTAACGGCATGCTATACTATGTCACCTTTTGCATACACCTAAATGACATAGCTATATGTATTATATAAGTACATAATTAAACAATACTGACGATGCATTCATTATTATTAATTTTTTTTCCGTAAAATTGTATAATGTGAAGGCATAATTTCTGAAAAAAATATAACAGCGATTAAATAAAAAAAAAAGCATTTTTGCAGCCAATTCGCTCATATTATTTACTGCATAATTAATAAATGTACCATAGAAATAATGATACAGTTATTAATTAGTTACCAAATAATAACGATTGCCCAGATCTCACCACGGGGAGGTTGCTGCGGGTGCAGACCCACCCTACCACTTCCCATCCACCCTCCATTTATGCAAATTTTTATTTTTATTCAATAACATCATCCTCTTGATGCACATTTGCAAAACATTTTTGACTGTTGTGCAAACGAACAACAAAAGGAGCATTATTTTTATTCACTATAGTGAATAACCTATCTACTTATTTATACATATATCTACGTACATTTTTGCTTTTTATTCCTATTGCAACATTTTCTAATTTTGTTATTCCTATTGCAACATTTTCCAATTAATAAATATGCAATTGCATATTTGTCCTACCTACTTATATTACTGAGAATACGTGCCTATACGAGCACTCGTAATTATATTAAAAATTCTCTTAAATCCAATGCTTCCTAATTAAACATTGCAGTGTTTGACGACTATATCTTAATGACCATAGAGTCATTAAGATATAATCATTCTACAAAACCATAAACTTACATGTTTATTTAAAAATTTAAAGAGACATACATAAATAAATAAATACACTGAATTTCTTGATTTTGTTGTCCTCACTAAAATATTTCCTGAAACAAACTACGAAAGATTAGATACAATTTGCAAGAATAATAAGACTCGTATTACTTTAATACTAGAATACTTTCTGAAACAGACTAAAGAGGATAGGATACAATTTTCAAAAATAATAAGGCGCATATTACCTTAATACAAAAGTAGTTCCTGAAACATATGGAAAAGGATTAGATACAATTTTCAAAAATAATAAGATTCGTATTACCTTAATACCAGAATACTTCTTGAAACAAACTAAAAAGGATTGATTACCAAAACACGTCCTGAGATATTTCTCTGTAACAGAAACTCATTAATTGATACTAAAACTGAACAACTCGAACAACAATTATCCACTACTTTTGTTTAAATAAAGTAGAATTAAAATTTAATAAGCTATCTCAAATGAACAAATATTCCTTGAAATAATTTATCACCAATCATCACAAAATAAATTGAACATCCATTTTAAATAAAACTTTGAATAAAGATCTATTGAAAACTTTATCGTATTTAATAATATTCTGAAAATATTAAATTCATATAATATTTAACAGTATTTCCTATAACCGAATGCTCAAAATTTTCAAAATTAAAAAAAGGGAAGAAAAAAGAATGAGGGCGGGGCAGTGGGAGGGAGGGTACAGGGGAACCTGAAAAGAAAAGTTTGACTGCCCATAAGAGCAATCCCTAAGCAAACCCTATAAAACAAACCGAAATCACACGCAACACTAATTTCAAAATTGCAAACATTCTGAACTATGACAAAACATCGGCTGGCAACGAAGGGTCTCACGCCCCCTAGACTTACGCCAGACGCTACATACCACCCACCCCGCCTGGACGTCGTAACGCCAGGACAGAGTGCACCCCTTCGCTAAGAGCGCTACCCGCCTGTCCAACACGTTGCATCCAACGGTGTCAGATTGACGGACGCCCATAGTATAGACAAAAGGACTGCAGTTTAGAATATGGTAACATATTTTCATATGTTCCGTATTCTAAAGCTGCGCCTGCAAAGGCCTAGTAATGCATGGGTATATCTCCCAGAGATGGTGTTCACGGTCTTAGGCCGCGGAATCCTTGACTAGCAATGGATTCCCACCGAATGTGAGTCATAGTTACTTCCACTAATTTAATAAATGCAAAAAAGTAAAAAATTTAATAACAATCGCGAATTCATTCGCAACACTAATTTCATTAATAATATAATATGTACAAAAACGTACGCGTGAAGGCTGCTCCATTATGCGCAACGCTAAGCTGAAAAAAAGAAAAAAAGAAAAAACGCGAACTGTAACGCAACACTACTCAAATCTACCGAATTTTGTAAGACGCAACACTAATCTAAAAAAGGGGTACAGCCAATCCAAGGCTGTATCACAGCAGCTGGTCCATAGCTGCCTTATGGACCATGGCAACTCCACTGGATCGTTTTTGGGCATTTCATCATATATCGCAACTCTAATGCAAAACGCGAATATTCATGATCGCAACACTAATTAGCAGGGAATTCTATAAAGTAATGCAAAGCAATCGCGTATTTATAAGTCGCAACACTGGGAAACAATCGCGCTAATGTCATTCGCAACGCTATCTTTAAGAGACATGCACTTAAAATGCAAAAAAGAGGGATTCTCAAACCGTGAATTTTTTACTCGCAACACTAAAGCAATCAACATTAAAAAGCAAAACTCTCAAAAATCTTAAAGCAATCAACATTGAAAAGTTAAATTCTATTTCAAAGCAATGCAAAAAAGAAACGCGATATTTAAAGTTTGCAACACTAAATGAAAATCACGATAATCATGCATACGCAACATTAAATTGAACCGTGATCGATATTCATTCGCAACACTAAATTGAACCGTGGTCAATATTCGCAACACTAAATTGAAAACGCGATTTGCCCAAAACCATGGGGGTCACGGGCCCCCTCTTCTCCTGCAATTACAAAACTACAACTACAGGCAAGCATAGTGACAAAGTAGTAACGATAATGATTTCCCATCCTTTTTTGCAAAAGGATGCAAAATCATTAGTAGTTCCCCTCTTGACAGACAGTTTGTCGGGGCGCTTCAGCATATAGCCACTTCTTTCTTCGGGCGGTCCACCCACCTGAAACTTATATCTAAAGCTCGAGACTTGCAAATTCGCAAAATAAAAAAAAAAACAATCAACAAAAAAGAAAAATCGCGAAACTCTAATTGACACGTGGACGAAAAAGGACTTTATATAAGTCGTTGTTCGTGCACACGTGCCCTGCTCGAGCAGAACTTGTGCGTTTCGTGCCATCGCGATCGCGTATGACGACTTATCAAGTCATCAAAAATTTAAAAAATTGTACAGATAGAATCGAAGGCGAACGGCATACTCCGTTCGTATCGATGGTATCGTCAATTCTTCAAATATATTCCAGGTACAGGTTGATCACGCGAAATCGCGCCTACCCGACCAAGAGACTGTGACAACCTGTCCCGGCCTTACCTACTTACAATCTATCACACACACCAGAACGTATACTACCTACCTACCTAACGCTATATTTAAAAAAGGCAAAATCACATTCTCACAAAAATTCATTCCACGACCCCCATACACTCCACCCGGGCGCAAGAGCCTAAACTAGGGAGAACGTCCCGGGACGCCTCCGTCACCCGAGTTTCATCTCACATCACACTCTACGGTACGTACCATTTTTCACTGAAATCGTCTGGCAAGGCTAGCAATCATTGCGTATAATGAAAATTACAAAATTTAATTAACTATTTTGCTATAGAATATTTCATAATAATGGTAATAATCATGGTAATAGTAATGGCAATATAGTAATAGTAATGGTAATAATATTATTTGGTTTGTACGTTCGATGTACATCTTGTTGAATAAAATATTATTTCAAATTAAAAGTTAAATGAAAAAGTTATCAAACCGACGCAATCCCACAGCCTAAAAACACACACACCATATGTGGAAATTACATCGTGCACGATATACTAACACAATGCCAGCCGCTTATTAATTATTATTCTTATGAACTAGATCATCGTGCCCATTGCCTCTACCCATCCAAGTAGCACCTGGGCACGTGAATGGGCTTTGGCAATAAACACGGAAAGGGTTAAACCTGAAAATCCTGATCTACAAACATGATTAGTACATAAACATCTAACGGGCTAATATTTCACTATTTTAATAAAAGTGTCTTGACTTTGTAAATATAAAGCTTTAAGAACAAATACTGAAAAGTAAAATTGAGCAACTATGACACAAACATGGTGCACTGCTAATATCAGCTGGCAACGAAGGGTCTCACGCCCCCTAGACTTACGCCAGACGCTACATACCACCCACCCCGCCTGGACGTCGTAACGCCAGGACAGAGTGCACCCCTTCGCTAAGAGCGCTACCCGCCCGTCCAACACGTTGCATCCAACGGTGTCAGATTTGCGGACGCCCATAGTATAGACAAAAGGACTACAGTTTAGAATATGGTAACATATGGAAGTGTTCCGTATTCTAAAACTGCGCCTGCAAAGGCCTAGTAATGCATGGGTATATCTCCCAGAGATGGTGTTCACGGTCTTATGCCGCGGAATCCTTGTAACTAATTTGATTAATTAAATAATACATAGGATTGAGATTAAAAACCAAAAGGATTCCCACCGAATACTAGTCAGTGCATCGTCATATTTACTCTCGCGTCGGAAATTTCTCGCAACACTAATTTAAGAAATGCAAAATTCTAATAAAAAAGAATTTAATGTCTCTAATTAAGAATTCTTTGTAGTGAAAAAAGAATTTATTGTGAAAATTAATAAAACATCCTCGGGCGACTCCCTCTTCAGAGTAAATTTTCAAGAATACGCAAAATGTGTTGAAATAGATTACTCTGACTTGGAAATCTACCCGTCGCGAATTGTCTTCTTGCACATAAATTGTTCAATTTTTCATGAACGTATAAATAAGTTAAACTTCGCTATAGAATGAGTTGAACTTTACTACTCATAAAAAATTCTCAAATTATATTTGAATTTACAGTGTACAACATGTAATTAAATCAATATAAAAATATCATTAACATGTATATCCAATATACATATTATACAATATATTATCAATATTATATCGATTTGAATCGTATTTGACTTCTTCACTTTAGAAAAACTAAATAAAATTATTTCAGTATTAAAATATTTCATATTCCAAATTTTATTATAAAATTGTAACATTTAAAAGCATTCATATATTTCATAAAAATCTATTGGAATATGTGGAATAGAAATAATATTTAAACGCGAAGTACAAGAAGACCTAGCCTGAACTAAATGAAATGAAACAATAAAAATGTTACTACTCATGGGTATAATCATACCCATGGTCACTATGCTTGCCAAGCACGTATACAACTGGTAACCCGTGTCGATTCGGACCATTCGTCCTACGACATGATTGGGTACCAGAGGAACCATAAAACATGCGACTCACCGTTCGCAGATATACTCTTCTTCACGCAGTCAAGTAGGAAGATGCACAATAACCAGGTAGGAGGTTGACTTACAGGAGAAGACGGAAGTCGTGAAGAAAGCCATCAGGATCCGTCCAGGAACTCGGCAAGATGAAAAAGTTTATCTGTAACAAAACAAAAAAAAATTACTGTTAATTTTGCAAATTATCAATTTTGTCAATTATTCTGTTTGAATTAAAATTAGTTAAATAAAGTAATAAGATACTTACACTCTTTCCTTATGGAGCAACGTCCAAGACTCCTCTTCAGTGGTGGACCAATGATGGAAACTTTATACTCTACTCTCTACTTTCACGATAGCAAAAGAAAAATCAGAGCCGCGATGCTCTAGAAAATATTTTAAAATACGCAGCAAACACTGACTCTACTTTCGCGTGATTCCTAATTGTACAAACGCAACTCTATTGGGGCCAGTTCACCCTTGAAAACATGAAAACATTGGAAATATGTTCGGACAAACACTGACTCTACCGACCGCCTTGCGCGCGGCCACAATAATTCCTGGAAGAAAAGATTAGTGAGGAGGTTGGGGGTGGGTGGAAATATACAAAACAAAACAAAACAAACATTCTTCTTATTAAGCGTTCGTTAAGGAAATCAAGTACGTTATTATGTGTGAATATTAATCCCTAGATTATTTCGTAATAATGAAATGTTTTAAATACTTGTTGATAATTATTTCAATGAATATTACAAGAATAGAAAATCATTGTTAAATAAATATAATAGACCATTTTCTTAAAGTAGAGGATTTCTATTGTTGAATTGTAAGCATAAAAATTGTTGAAAATTCAATTACGTCGTGATTTATAAATTGTCTAAATTCTTTTCAATAAACAAAGTCCAATAATTAATCATGCTTAACCTGCACGTGATTTAAAAACGCACGTAATTAAAAAGGCTGGATATTGTAATTAGTACGATTTAACAAAAATAGATTGTTTAAAATAATTTATAATTGCAGAGAAGCAATCATTTTCAGTAAAATACGAATTATTTCAATTTTTTTCTAATTCAAAACAAATGTATTAAAATACTAGACGAAATTATTTAATAAAATTAAAAATTAATTATTCTTTTTCTATGAATTGATTAAAGAAAAATAATGTCTCTAATCTTTTCTTTCTTGGTACCTTGGTAGCAATTAATTATCAAAAATGCTTATAATTAACAACGACTCAATGAAAAAAAGTAATAATAAACGTTAATAATTGATTACAATAAATTAAAACAATAAATTCTTACGAAATTCTACTTCAAACCCATATCAGGTTTCATGGCGTCCTTTCAATATCCATCAAATATCTGTAATAAAAAAGAAAGACGAATTTATGTACATAAAATGTAATCAACAATAATAAAGTTATCATTAATAAACGATCGAACTATAATTTATGCAAAATATTTTAATAGATACAATGCGTACCTACTTTACTTACTTATGCGGAAGGATGCTCTCAACACGTCTTGTCACTTCGACTTTCGCGAGAGAAATAGCGAGACCTTCCTTTTCGACGAAGACCGGTCAGCATCGCTCGGCATTTTTCGGTATATTCCGGTATCGGCCGATATCTAAGCAACTACACGAACAGGTCTAAACAGGAATAATATTACGATGCTCAAGAAAGAACGTTATTAAATTAAAAACAACAAATTGTGTGAAACAGTACTAAAAACATTCAATAATGTTTAGGAACTTAATGATATAAAAGAGAAAATAATTCAGATTCTGCTGTTCCACTCTTATTGTGCATTCGCGGCGAGAGCAAAAATTTGTAACACGCCAATTTTTCAAGAAAACGCCGAATTAATGTTAAAGATCAAGAATTCAGACTTCTCTTCGATGTTTCTTTCTGTTTTTTGTACTGTTAACACCCAATCGGCAATATAATTTAATATTTGAAGATAATTTAACCTTACCTGTTGCAGACACGTGACAAACGGACGAAGCTTCGAAGAGGACTGTTGCACTCTACCACACCCCGCGCAACACACATTTAACGATGAATCTGATTGGTCTAAATAGGAGGACGCCATCATGGAACGACCAATCATAAGCATTGGTAGAAACTTCGAATTGCTTTGTAACTTTAACATTAAAAGAACGGAAAGATTCATTGAAAATTATCAACGCCATATTGAAATAAGGTTAAAATTACTTTTTTTCACTTAAAAGCACCGAAATATGAAAAAAGATAGAAAAATACATAAGATATTAATGGTATTTAATAAATTCTCACCATAAAAGCAGAATAAATGTGAAATATGTTATTTTAATTCGTATCTGTATCGACAAAATAGGGTATAAATTTTCAGCTTACGCATTTCTGAAGACAATATGGATATGATGTCAAAAGTCATGATTCTGGTCTTCTCTTCAATGTCTTCAACGAGTTTGTCTTCTGTCTCTTGTATTTTTAATACATAATACACAATTTAATCACATACACGAGCTGCGAATGATTGCGCTGTCGAATATACTAAACGAATGAACTGCGCCCTACAGAAAAAATGAGGAACTAAATTTGTGGTTAGTAATGACGACGTAATTTGTGTTCTTGTTTCTGACTGTCGGTAAAGTTTGCAACGCTAGTATCACCTCAAAGAAGGTAATTCCTATCGCTCATCAAAAAATGCCCAAAACTCTAATCGATCAGGGTTATCATTGGCTAAAAATTAGCAGCGATTCACAAGGGTCACCAGTCTTGGTTTCAACGCGTCCGATGGCTTCTTTGTTCGCGTTTATTAATTCAACACGGTGCAAAGGTCCTGGACTGGCACGTGCACGATCTCGTTCCCTGGTTTGTTTGTATCCAATGGATGATTACTAATGTTATCGCTCGAAGAGAGAGACAGAGAGGAAAATGATCAGGGAAGTATGGCAATCACGAGACTTCTTCACAGTTTTCTCAGTCGGTAGAGAAAGAAGGTCGAAGGTCGTGGCCGATAAGCACCGTCGCCACGATACGTGGCTTTTACGATTAAATAAATAACTCGACCGATTCGCGAACGTGCAGTCGATTTTTGCCGCGTCTCAAGCCTCTTCCTCCGCGATCATGAGGGACCTGAACAAAAAATCGAGCTCCCAGGATCATTTGAACGGCCGCGAGTACGACACGATCGCGGGAAACGGAAACGGAAACAATGGCCTTGATTCATCCACAGTTCAAGTAATTATCGTTACGTCTTATTTACATGCCGATCGAAATCATCGTGGAATCATCTTTCATACGTTGCCAACATATAGAAACGATCAACATGGGATTACGATATCGTAACGAAACTAACTCGATCATCTGCTCGTTGATATGTGTTGTGTTCAATTGCCTCGCGTTCCTCGCGCGTTTACCAGCGACAAGATTACTCTCGGTGCACGGTTTCAATCGTATCAAATGGAGCAAGAGCGGAAACGCAGAAAGGTTAAACGGTGTACACGTTTGTCCACAGGACGACGAGGAACAACCGATCGATCCGTTCTGCGTCGAGAACCGTCCTCACAAGATCACCTTCGAGGACATTACCTCGGCTGCGTTCAAGATCAAAGGTGGAATCATCAACACGCCATGCGTGGTACGTTTGCCAACGGGAATTCGTCGAAATCGATGGAAAATTCTATGGAATTTTCGTAATCTCTGTTACTCGACTGTTTAGAAATCACGGCTGTCAGATATGACGGGTATCGATCTTTACTTGAAGAAGGATTTCCTTCAATTGACGGGAAGCTTCAAGGAACGAGGTGCTAGGTACGCTTTGGTGATGCTGCCCGAGGAACAGAAGAAGATCGGTGTGATCTCAGCCTCGTTGGGCAATCACGCTCTTGCGCTTTGTTATCATGGATGCAAACTAGAGATACCGGTGACCGTGGTGATGCCAGTATTGGCGCCCATCATGAAGATCGCTGCTTGTCGTCAATACGGTGCCAACGTGATCGTCGAAGGATTAGACATGGGCGAGGCGAAACGTATCGCTCTTCGATACGCGAAAGAAAAAGGATTGACGTATATAAATGGGTACCGAAATTTTTGTCCTACTTTTTAATGAATATTCTTAATTCGAAATTTATTAATTTTTTCTAATAACTTACGATTTCAGTTATGATCATCCAGACATCATGGCAGGTCAAGGAACCCTGGGTCTCGAAATCGTAGAACAAGTTTCAAACATCGACGCGGTTGTGATCCCCGTTGGAGGTGGTGGTTTGATCGCAGGAGTAGCTTTAGCAGTGAAAACGCTTCATCCAAACATAACGATCATCGTAAGCCCCTATTCGTTCACCTAAACCTACTTTTTTCATTCATCGACGAGAAGGGTCATCGACCGATCTCTTTTCCAATATTCAACAGCTCTTTTTTTTTATTAACGTTGCAGGGCGTTGAATCAGAAAGGTGTCCCAGTTTCCATTCGGCGCGAAAGGCGGATCGACCTATACACACACCTATAGAGTCCACTTTGGCCGATGGTTTGGCGGTCCCCATGGTTGGATATAACGCTTTTGCCACGGCTAACCCATTGATTGACAAATTAGTCGTGGTGAAGGAGGAGTGGATAGCCATTGCGATCTTGAAATTGGTGGAGAACGAAAAGTGCATCGTCGAGGGTGCTGGAGCCACCGGTTTAGCCGCCATTTTGGCCGGTCAGCTGGAAGAACTCAAAGGGAAAAGGTTGTTTGATGTTGTTCGATGTATACTAAAGGTCGTTTTCGTTTTTTATCCATCGCAAAAAAAGGTGGTAAAATCAATAGCAGAGTAATTTATATTTTTTGAAACAATTTGGGAACTTCTATTCTTTAATTATTTTTTGAATTATATTCAATTCTTTTTTTTCTTACCATTGTTTAGAGTGGTGTTGCCACTTTGCGGAGGCAACATAGACACAACGGTACTGGGAAGGTGTTTGGAACGAGGCTTGGCAGCGGAAGGTCGCCTTTTGAAGTTTGCGGTGACTGTGTCCGATCGGCCAGGTGGAATCGCGGAACTTTGCAAAATGTTGGCCAGCATCGGTGTCTCCATAAAGGACATCATGCACGAGCGAGCTTGGATCATGGCGGACATCTTCAGCGTGGACGTGAAGGTGGTCTGCGAGACCAGGGACCGGGAACACTCGGAACAACTGAAAAATATGTTGCATCAAAATTATCAAAGAGTCGTGTTTGGCTCCAATGAAACGTCAATTTACACTAGTGCAATGTAAGACGTGCAATTAAGACATTGAAAATCAACATTAAGGGACATTTTTTGAAATGTCTAATCACGAAATTTAAACTTGACACCTTGATCGTCGAGTTTGCGTTTAAGATAATGAAATATTGTAAAAATAGTAGATAATGTATATATTTTTTTAAAATAAAAGCACTATCTGATGATAGTCAAAATGTTAAAGTATTCGCTTATTTATTTATTTGATAAGTCTCCATAGTAAAAGTTTCTCTAAATTACAGAAGATTGTTGATTCAATTTCAAAAATTGCTCGAACCATAAATCGTTATCTTTTACACAATACATACGCTGATCCATTTCGGTATTGATATCAATTTTCCACGAGTATAAACGATGGTACTTCACCTTGCAGCCGGAAATTTTCCACCTATCAATGAAAACGTCGTTTCATCGAGTTTCGATTACTTTAAACAAGCTAAGGTGCCGCGTGCTCGCCATATCGAACGAGCTTTACCGTAATTTGCATCGAGAAGAAGGGATCGATGGGCCGGAAATTCGAGGAGGGAGTCGTGCAGAACTCTCATAACACGGGGCTGTAAACGTACAGCGAGCAGCAACGAAATTTATTATCGCTGGAGAGGCCGAAAAGGGAGGATGTAAAATTCCAACAACTCGCCCTGCTTTCGATGTTTTATACCAACCGGTGCACCAGCTACGTGTTGTATCCGTCGTTTCCGCTTTAACGCTGATATGATTGGCTTTTTTGCGTAACCTGGGCCCGATCGTAAAGCTTGCTTTTACGAGCTCGATTACGAGGAGGCTGCTTATTGTGCGACCAGCACGTGTTCGACAATTTCAAGCAGCCTGTCCTACAGAATCACCATACATCCTGATTGAACAGATCGTGAAGACGAATTTTTTTATTCTGCAATTTTGATGATCTATTACGAAACATAGCGCGAGTAATTTATGCCTCAATTACAAATTTGTCATTACAAATTTGATTGAATCAAGGATTAGATTGATTACTGTAACGATCAAATCTGGACCATGATACTAAATATTTACTTTTCATTTCCTGTTGACCCTATCGCAAGAGTTCATTGATAAATTCAAGCATCGTGATGCAATTACGAACGTATTTGCAGAGATATCAAATTACGTACATATGATTGTATCACGCGTCAAGATCATGTTCGTGCACAAAATTGCATGTTCTTTTCGAGCGAATGGAAATCCTATTTCTCACGGACGGTGCGTTTAAGATATTTCTTTCCATAGGAACCTTCTTTGCTTGCCTCTTCCTTAAAGAAAGCAATCTCATTACTTCTCAGCTTAAGTCGATTTCGAGCCTGCTCATAGGGCGAAAGGGGAGCAGGGAAAAGAAAAGAAGCATCCTCTGTAGAAACTTTGCGATACCGTGATAATATTATTTCACTGGACTGTTCTTTAAAGAGAAGAATCTTAATATTTCTCCGGCTGGGTCAATTTTAACCCGGTCCCGGGTAGAGAGGAGCTCTGCTCTGGTGAAATAAATTTCTTTCCAGAGACAGCGTGTTTTCAACGAACACGCTCGAGTTTCGGTCGAGCATTTCCATAAAAGGACGTGGCTGTCAGGGGATTAATGTGTCTTTACGATGTTACAGTACGGTTTCGTCGCGTTACACGACCGAATAATATATATGTACATCGCGAAAGTATTTCAAGTACATATTGTTACGTTTTCACTTTGAGTGTGTATGCTCGAGAGGGAAATGATAGAACGAAGAATTAATTGACATTTAAAATGAAATTCATGAAATCGAAGGAGAACGATGGGAGGCCTTAAGGGAAAGCCGAGTTGCACGCGACCACACATGGAACGTGGCAGAGCGGAGTCGAAGGCAGATACGAAGCACGGCGCCTACGTTGAAAAGACCGACTCCTGAAGTTCCTTTCAGCGGCGGCTCACAATACATGACGATATGTCAGCTTTCTAATATCGGACTACTCCGGATGAGTTATGATATGTGAAGCCTCGTTCAAAGGGAGAGAAGCTACGAACGTGGCCCCCGGCGATGAAAGATCCACGGATCCTTTTCTCTCTCCCTGTCCTTTCATGCCCATCCCGTGGCTGCAGACACCGTGGAGATGACGAAGCGGCACAGAACAGGGAAACTGGAGCCACATTGTGCTGCGAGGGAAGCTAGACTGCCTGTCGAAGAATCGTCGACGAAAGTAGGCGGGAAAGAAGAAAGGAAAATGAGAAAAGCATCCTTATTCTTAGCTTTGCCGATGCGTTCTTAGTTGGAACTTTGCGCGGCGCACCTTGAGACATTACGGATTGGATACAGGAGATAAGAAATTCTTAAATCTCCTGTCCGACTAACGAATCGCAATTTTTACCGGGACCGAAAGCAAAGTTTTTCCGAGAATTTCTTCCCTCCACTCGGAGCCGCGGTGCTAGTAGTTTTCGGCGCGGGGAAAAACGAGGCACGAAACGAAAACGAGAAAGAGAAAGAGAAAAGTGGCGTTGGTCTGAATTTACAGCATTTAATATCGGCAAAATGAAGTACGAGCAGAGTGGAGAGCGGGCAAGGAGCCGCCATTTTGTGGCATCGATAAATCCATTTTATTGCCGTGGTACGTAGGTGGGCGGTCTGACTACGGTTACCGGTTGTCTGCCTATTCCCTCTGCCTTCCTCGTTGTACACCAAACATCGAATAAAAAACTAATGTTAGGGCTAGCAACCCCCATAACCGACGACTCTTTTTTTCGCGGTACACCGAACGACCACCCCTTTAACGATTTATTCGCCGTGCGAAGATAAAACGGCGAAATTAATTGAAGAAAATTAGATATAGGAAAAAATAACCAGCAATAAAGAAAGGTATAAAACCCGGTGAAAATTTCGAAGCAGCGAGGCGATCAGAAGAGAGCGTAATATAGATACAGCCGACAAATCGTCGCGAAATTTTTCAGAATTAGTCGGAGGTAAAGCTTGCTCGAGGGAGGCAAAGGATTTTCGAAGAGCTGCAGGGCCAGAGTTTTCCAAGGTGAAAGTTAATTCCGTTGGATAATCCAGCTTCGAGGGGGTGGGACGTAACGAGGGTGAAGAAAGATCTCCCCCCTCTCCTTCTGTGCTTCCTTTTTCAGCTAAATCTTGGAGCGGATCGAGAGCTTCGCCGAATTTATGAGATTTCGGCTTTCGTAGGGTGGTCGAGAGGATGGGAGTTGAAGCTCGCCGAAGGGATTAACTTTGTCGAGCCATTTTGTCGACCGCGAGCGAGCTTTGTGACCGGCAGAAGACACATTCCCAGCAATTAGCCAACCCCGCATCTGTGTCCGCGCCTCCAATGTCGCAGACGTGTAACTGCCTTTTCAAAAATGCTGGCCAAATTTTTTTCAATGTTTGCAAACAGGTCTTGTTATTTATCTTTGACCTTCGTACAGATTAATAGATGTACCGAGATCCTAACTTTTTAAGACGTGTAAAAAGGATAATCGTTCTTTTAGTTTTCTTCCAGCCGGCTAGTAGTAGCAAAGTGTTCGTTCCAAGTCGAGCAAAACGCGATCGTTAAATTATTCTCCCCCTCCAAAAAGTACGAATATTTCTACGTCAGGGGTTTAAAAGCTTGGAGGATCTATCCAAGGGCGAGCTAGAGTTCATGGTCTGCCCGTGAACGAGGGAGAACGATGAACAAGAAGAAGAAGATATTCGCTTCTGTGGAAGTTACTTATTAGTTTTTAAGCCGCTTGCGTTCTTATGGAATTAACGAGGAACAAATAAATCTCGACCGGAAGAGACAGATTTCGTCGAACGAAGAGTTCTCCCTTAAAAACACGATAATTACCGCCGCTAAACCTTCCTGTACTTTATGTTCCCTCGAGATGTATCATTTAACACTGCTGCATTCTGTAACAGTGAACGTGTTAAAGGACGAATTACGTTGCGTTTAGCGTTTTGTTTGCGTTGCCGGAGCGTTAAACTTGGTGAAAACAGAGGGAACAGTTTAACGTTCGGTCTCGAAGTCGAGCGACAATGGTGGAAAAGGTCAAATAAAGCCATTGTTCGAAAGTTCCCTAATTAATAGAACGTTAAGGGGCGCTCGATAAAACGGTTAGCAAAATGTCAAACCGGTGAAAGTTTTCTCCGAGGGTAGTAAAGAAAGGGAAGAAGAATCGAAGAGGGAAAGTTTCGTTGGTCCGGAGACCCTAACGTAGACACGAAAAGAGATTTCGGCATGGAATGGCACGAAACGACCGAAGGGAGACGATTTACCTTTGTACTTTCCTTAATTAAACCATCCCTGCACGGTTCACCCTTAATTCGGAAATAGGTTACGAGCGACGGACCGTCCCCCCTTTTTCACCAGTTCCCCAAAACAATGTTTCCAGGGGTCGTTAAAACTCGATAGCAGCAATTTTGGGGATGAAATTTGAAGAAGGAAACGCAATAGGAATTTTTCAGATTTAATTAGCACCATTTAAGATCCGCGTTTTTTAATTTTCACGGATTACCTCCAATCTTGTACTCGTCCAATAAATGAATACAATTTAATTTTTCAGAAAATCCATTTCGTGGAAAACAAATACATTCTCTTCGAGCATCGTTTCGCCCGAGCTTGTTCGCTTTATTCTTTCAAACGAAAGCAAAACGGTCAGAAACGGAATCCAACTTGTCGGTAGCAACGCGAGCCGGTTCCTTCTCAGGAACACTGGCTCGTTGATTCGCAAAATTTATTCGTAGAAAAGTTTCCTCGTTAAAAGCGCACGCGCGCGTCTCTACACAGTTGCACGCGACCGGTATCAACCCCCTTTCACCTTCATCCCCGTTGAAACAATGCCTGAAACGTAGCAACCGACAGATAAGGTACGCGTTTTTTCCGCCAGTTCATCCTCCGTTTGCATTTTTCCCCGCGGCGGAAGTTGTGCGCGAAACAACGCGCTCGTAATAACGGAACGCTCCGAGCTACCTTTTGTCTTACTGTTTATTATAAAATTAGTATTTATGCTTGGATTTGCGGATAAAAGATGGTAACGGAAATTGAATCTTCTACTTGGTAACCAAGAGCTTTTCGAGATCTTAAGAAATAACAGGCACGATTGTTCCGAGATGTAAGTCAGCGATGCAGTTTCTAGGAACTTTTCACGGATGGACTAGGTTTCCAGCAATTTTCCGAGATACCGTTGATAAAAGTCTATTCGTCTCTCCCCTGACCTAGTCACCGTCTTTCAATCAAAA